AGTAGTTGACACAAAGTGACCCAGTGACACTGTGCAGGTTGCTGTGAACCTGTTAGAGTCGCTGCATGTTTAGATTTAATAAACTGCCCTCTAGAGTTCAGCACTACTTGAAAAGATACCACACTCCATATCAAAGAGCTGTTGTAAAAGTATTTCATAACTCTCCAGTCTGTTGTGACTCTTCTCTTGCATGCTTTAGTGACCACATCAATTAGGGTGATTTTTTTTTTTTGGACTTGGAATGTCAAAGCTCATCAAGTGTTGTCACCTTACAAGAATTTCTATGTACTTTACAAAACCTAATCCTTACTGTATTTTTTAATGGAGTTATCCAGTCTTTGGGCAGGTGAACTACTGACTATTATTCACTGTTATTTTTCTCCTTACATGAAATTTAAAGGTATCTTTAGTAAATGGGGTTTTATTTTGAATGCCAGTAGAGGCAGTTTGTGTTAATGGGTTTCCGGGTGCTTTGGGCTGCTGGGAGGACTGGTGGTGGTGATTCAGCAGGTGACTCTCAGCACAGTGAGCTCTGAAGTCATTTGGTGGTTACACCAGCCATGGGTCAGGCAGTCTTAGCTCAGTGGTCAGATATGGAATGGAGGGGGAGGAAACACTGTTTTGTGATTTTAATTCTTCTAAAATTACTGTCTAATATTTTTCCTAATTGTACATAGTAACGTCATTAATAGACAAACACGTAATGCAGATAGCTTGTATTTTACTAATAGCTTAAGTGAACTGAGAAGTTATAAAAGTTTCTCTGGGATGAAGGGTTTTATAGGAAAACCTGTGTTCAACAAGTAAACTGCGTCCTTACTTCTGCTGGTCAGCAGAGCCTTGGGAAAAAAGTACTACTTTTTCTGTATTTCTCCTGTGTAGATGTCTAAATCTTGCTTAAAATGAAGAAAAAAATAAAAAAAATGGTAGAAAGCATTTGCTGAAGCAGTAAAAGCTGTCAGGTTGTTTTATTCCTTTTTTCCCAGATCAGATAAGTCAGCTTGAAAGATTAAGAGATCTCTAGCTGTATGCCAGCTATTTTGGGTTCCTTTATTTATTTGTTCATTATGTGTTTTCTTTTTCAAACAGTAGAACTGAAAATTGATAGAATGAAATGGTTCCTGTCCATTTGAGGAAGATCCTGTCATGCACAACCTTTTTTTTTTTTAAAAAAAAAAGACATGATATTTTACTGAGAGAACACCACCAGTATTCAAATTACTTTAAGCAGTAATACTGGTATTTGTGAAGACTGATCACTTGAATTTTCTGTATATAGAAGTTTCCCAGCCACAAGGTGCAGACTTGGGCACGATAGCAGAAGTACCTGAATGTGACCTCAAGAGATATCCAAGCGAAACAGTTGTGGGAACAGAAGTTTCAGGATAGCTTGAAGTAAACAACAATAAAAGTAAGATTTGACAGGAAACAGTTTTTGTTAGAAATAAATCTACAAATTGGACATGCATACATTGTGCAAATTTTGCTCATTAATTATTCCACCACTGCTCAATCCTAAAGCAAGCTGGTGGCTTTAAATTCGATTCTCAGAATTTAATATCCATGTTTTGCTTTTTGGAAAAATTTGTTAAGTTCGGTGTAATACAATAGGCAGATTGTCAGGCAGAGCCTCTGACCCATAGCACCCACTCTTTCTTTCCTTCCCTTCCCAGAGCAGTAGAGAGCTCCCACACTTCCTGCTGAGTAGGAACTCTCATTTGTCCCTAGTGTTAGTCCAGGCACTAAATTTCCTGAAGACTTAATTTTGATGAACATTATGATAAAGTGTTGCTGAGTGTACCTGCGAAAGCATGGCTATTTCTCATGCTAATGGTCATGCCACATTAAAACCCGTCTTTTACAAACTGAATGTCTTGATTTTAATTTTTTTTTGGCTATATTAGTGATACTCTTTGACTTTATTGACAGTTTGCAGTTTTTTATTTTGAATGGGCCCAAACCATTCTCATTTTTCGGAATTGCCATTGCCAAACATTTACTCAGATGATTCAGTGTGACTTTAAGTGAGTTGAAATACCATATTTTGCATCAAAACTCTTTTTAATGATATTTGGATAAGAATGTCATGTACTTGTTGCAGGCAGACTGCGAATTTTGTTTGTTTCTTTCATCGAGGTTTTCAGTAGCCAAAGGAGGGACTGTGTTCATGAATATTGCAGCAGTGCTTAAAGAAGAAACAGTTTAATGCTTTCTTCACTGGATTACACGTTCTCAGAATGAACCTTTATCGCTCCGGGCTTTTCTTGCATCCTGTCAGTTGACATTTTTCAGCAATATGGAAAGAGAACCACAGAATGTTTTTTGTTGGGAGGGATCTTTAAAGGAGTAGTCCAGCCTTCCTGTTACAGGCAGGGACACCTTCAACTAGATCACAGCTCAAAACTCCATCCAATTTAACCTTCAGCATTTCCAGGGATGAGGCATCCAGGGATGAGGCATCCAGAGCTTCTCTGGGCAACCTGTTCCAGTGCCTCACCACACTCACCAGAGAGAGTTCCTTCCATATGTCCAATCTAAAGCTACTCTCTTTGATGTTAAAATCATTGCTCCGTGTCCTGTCCCAACAGGCTGTGGTAGAAAGTTTCTTTCTTGTAAGCATCTTCTAGGTATTGAAGTGCCACGGTAAGGTCTCCCCAGAGCCTTCTGTTCTCCAGGCTGAACAGCCTCACCTCTCAGCCTTTTTTGTATACATATGCTTCTTAGAATCATAGAAAAGCTTGGGTTGAAGGGACCTTAAGATCATCTAGTTCCAACCCCCCTGCTGGGGGCAGGGACACCTTTCACTAGACCAGGTTGCTCAGAGTTCCATCCAGCCTGTCCTTTAACATTTCCAGGGATGGGGCATCCTCAGCTTCTCTGGGCAACCTGTTCCACTGCCTCACCACCCTCACAGCAAAGAACTTCCTCATAATATCTAATCTAAACCTACTCTCAGTTTGAAGCCACTCTCCCTTGTCCTGTCACTACATGCTCTTGTAAAAAGTCCCTCTCCCTCTTTCTTTTAGGCTCCCTTCAGGTACTGGAAGGCTGCAGTTAGGTCACCTGATATATTCTTAAGATATCCTAGGTTGGTTAATACCGAAAACTTCTTATAAGCAAATTTGCACTATGATATACAAAAGCTAAATTAGATTTTGCTGTATTTTATGCCCCAGGAGTGGAATAATGTTTTTCTCTAGTAGTTGTCCCTCAGTGATCGTGAGTAACTGCACATGATGCTAATAGGGGAGACTGTATTTCTGTCTTGGTCCCTCTTGGTCTTGGAAATCTCAGTAACAGTTGTCTGCCTTGTCCATGACTATTCTATCTTCATTAGGCTTTGTTATGTATGTTCTCTGTTTTCTCATGGTTACCCTTTTGATTCACTGGGTGTTCAGTCCTGAATTAGCTCATCCTGGTGCATGCCACTTTTCTTCTGAAGGCAAATGCCCAGGCTTGTTGGCTGTGAAGCAGTGTTGGGTCTGAAGCTTTTTCTGGTCCAGGCTGGTTTTCTTATTCCCTGCTAATGAACTGATAAACCTTAATGAAGATGGAGACAAAGTGTTATTCAGTGGAGCCACAGGATGTGGGGGGTTCTGCAGGGTGTTTGATTGACATCTCCCCCTGGCAACTGCATAATTGGGACAACTGGAAGCAGCAAATTTCCACATAGTCTGTTTTCTTTTTGGGTTGTAATAAGTGAAATTATTAAACTTTGAGCTGTTGTTTATAGCTATTGAGAAGTGTGAAGGAGGAAAAGAGCTTTTCACAGTAGATTAGAATTAAATTTCTCTGTGGGTAGGTTAGAGTAGCTTTCCTCACATCATCATGAAAGTGAGTAAAGCCCTGGTGTCTGAGCATGCTACAAAGCCTACAGTCATCTGGTGATATCGGGCTTTGTAAATCAAGGAACTGCAGTTCACTTTCACTGTATCTTAATGCTTACACTGTAAGGAAATTTGAGCAGTGTTTCTCCTTTGTAGTTAAATAATTATGTGAGTGGCAGGGACACTCGGGGTTTGAATTGAATGTGGAGGATGGATTAAGGTATCCTGTTCCTATGTCATTGATTAAAGAGGTAACTGGTATTTGCACTTTTTCCTGTATGTAGGAGGGAATAAGAACTTTCTACCTAACCTTATTCATGAGGTGGCATCCTTGAATTTCTTGTCTGCAGTTCTTATGTTCAGTCTGCTCTTCAGTTTGGCTGAGTTTTTTATTAGGCATTAACCTATGATGCACATAAGGGCACCTGGCAGGACAAGTGATGTAATGGAACTTACTAAAGTTCCAGAAAAAGGAGATGCAGAAGATACAGATGATGCTGATATTTCTGAAGTAGAAGATTAGAGAGGGTTACTAATGACTATCCTGAATTTAGGACAGAAAAATACCTGTCTGTCCACACTCGGTAGCAGTTTCAAAGTGCAAAGACCCTGGGTAAATTTTTCTGGCCATGCATGTGCGTTTTCAAATCTAATATAAGACTTCATCTCCTCTTACTGTTGATGTGTTGGTTTCTCTCAAATCTTACTGTGACCTCCTTTTGAACAACTAAGGGTGTAGTCATGTGACTGTCATGGGAGGTGTCAGGACAAAGCTATTCAGCAGTTGTTTAAAGATTCACATGATGTCCTTTATAGTAAAATATTGAGGTTGTTAGCCTTGTACATCTTGTAGTCTGAAACTGTTAACAATACATGTATTTTTCCTCATGTCTTTGGTGCAATTATTAGTATAAAACTACTTTAGTCCCAGTGTTCAGTGTTGAGAAACTCTGACCATGCAACATATTTTTCATGACTTTATGCCTGTATAACTCATTTAAGGTTTATTCATCGTGAGTAGTTTATATTGAACTATGAACTCTAGTGAAGAAGCTGGTATATGCTGGAAAAGATTAGTTAGTGGAAAAGAGTGAAATGTTTATGTATTTTTGTATGCAATGCATATTAATTTATTTTCTTAATTTCCATGTCTTACACTTTCTTTTTTTTCAGCTGTTAAACGTTTGATGAAAGAGGCCGCAGAGCTGAAGGATCCTACAGATCATTATCATGCACAGCCTTTGGAGGTTTGTTTCTCTATGTGTTTGCAAGAACTTTTAGTTAGGCAGTGTTATTCATATATACTCTAATTATACCTCTCTGTAATGCATAGGTATTGAAAATGTACATATTTAAATGCTAACAGACCTTTTTTTTTTTTTCCTGTGTGGGAAATCAGCATCAGAATTCCACTTCAATGGTATTGTAGTTCCAGGTTGTCAGTGAAAGTGCACAATAATGGGTTTATATCACACCTGAGTAGTTTTATAGCATGGGTATGTTTTTTCCCCCATCTCTTTCCTGAGACTGCATAAATGCATAATATTTAACTTAAACTTTATACACCCAAACCTGATATCTGGCTCAGTTGCTGAGTTGCTCAATGAAACATTTAACCCTAGGTGATCCCTAAGGTTTTGCTCTTTTACATTAAAAAAAAAAACCCTGTGAAAAATGTAAATGGGTACAATTCTGGATGCATTGTAAGAGACATAGATTTCACTTAAGCAGAAGCTTCTAGAAGTCCACCTAACACCCAATTAAGTTTTTGGGCTGAGAGGACAATGATGTTCTGGTGGTTAGAAGCTTAAACAGAAATCCCTTCTGATTTCACAGGATTAATTAAAAGGACAGTGTTCTAAGGTGTTCAGTTGGGAGGTTTGATTTAGCTGTTCACAGAAATGCGTAACACGCTTAACTTGCTTGCATAATAATGTGTGCTCCTAGGTGCTGTAAAATATACCATACTATCAACTAGTTTTTATCTGTACCCTGTGTTTCCCTTTCCTGTAGTGAAATGTAGGGTTTAATTCATGCTATTATTTGTAACTTATGTGAAGGTCTCAACGCGCTTGCAACAAACGTGGGTAGAGCCCTTCCCAAATCTTCGCTCGTGAAGCCCAGCCATGACGATGACATGAAGGTCTTATTTCTGGATTAGAACAGTGACTTGCTGGGAAGAGAACAGTGGCAGATGAAAGGAAATGCTGGAAATGTTGACAGTCACCTCGTGTACTTGAAAAAGTTGGAACTGGGTGGGCAGTCCCAACCCTGTAATACCCGGGTCAGCATTAGTTCAGAGATGTCATTCACTGACAGCAAGCCTCATTTGGACTCCTATCCTAACAGGAGGAGTTGTTTTGCTTGTAAATATTTGGGAAGTTGTGGGCAGCATGGGTTCTCATACATAAAGCCAAACTCAGAACCCTAGAGAAATAATGAGGAGTTATTTGTATGTCCAGTGAAAATAATCTAAATTTCAAAGTGTTCCTCTTGCAGTAAGGCACAGTAGCTGATTCAGGATTGTTAGTGGAGAAGCAAAAGAGGATGTGAATTCTCTGCGATGTGAGTCAAGTCCCTGTGCATGAAAGGGGCTTTGGGGAGACTGTCATTAATGTTCTTTCTTGGTGTAGGCATCCCCTTGGTTCTCCAGAAATTATTGTTTACTGAGGCAAAGATCCAGTTTTCTCTTATCTGACTCAGTTTTCCATCTGTCAGGTAATAAGACTGTTGTCATAATTGATACAACTAGAGTGAGGAGTTTGGATAATCATTTTGAGGGTTTCAGTGAAGTCATTGTGTAAGCAAATTGCTATTTTATTCTTAGTGCTGTGTTGGTTCTATTTAACCTTCCATTTGATTTTTGGCTTCATAAAACTTCTGTTGTGTGCCATTTCTTTAGCCTGTCCTTGTTCAAGAAAATGGCATGTAGTTGTCTATTTCTGTGACAAACTCTTTTTTTTTCTTCTTCCATTGATGGGGACATTTTAGGATAATCTCTTTGAATGGCACTTCACTGTTAGAGGCCCTCCAGATTCAGATTTTGATGGAGGGATTTATCATGGGCGAATAGTGCTACCACCTGAATATCCCATGAAACCACCCAGCATTATTCTGCTGACGGTAAGTAAACAAGCTTACTAGTTTTTCTTTTTTATGTCATCAATTTAACCATAGGTGTCAGAGAGAGATTCTTGGCATGTAACATAACGTTATTTTTGTAGGAAAGGTGACATAGTACAGTTCATGCTGTCAGTTGAAGTCCAGAAGTCTTCCAAGGTGGCTTTGGTAATCTGTAATTGCTTGAAGCTTTGCACCTAATAAATGGAAACTTCTTCTCCAGGAGAAATCATATTGCTGATGTTATTGTCTAACCTTCTGTACTCTCCATGGGCCCTTTTGGTTTCTATTGGAAACATTACTCACATGTAGGAAGACAGACCTGTAGTTTGAGGCAAAGGCCCTCCTTCATGCACAGTTTTGTAGAAGGTTTTCTTCATGCATTAATAGAGTCAGATGACAGAATTCTTTGTTCAGAAAGTTGAATGCCAATTTTTTGAGGTTGGTAGTAATATAATTATCATTTATTGTTAGCATATAGAATTTTTTTATTACAATTTTTACAACTTGTACCAAAACCCAAGATTTAACTTCCAGCATATTTTATTGTATCCTTCCTCTTCCTTTGAAGGCCAATGGCAGGTTTGAAGTGGGGAAGAAAATTTGTTTAAGCATCTCAGGGCATCATCCTGAAACGTGGCAGCCTTCATGGAGTAGTAAGTAACAATTATTTGGAAAATGATACCCCCCATCAAGCAACTTGATCTTTAAACTGAAAAAAAATCTCACAAAGAATGTGCATAGAGGGAAAGGACACCTTTTGAGGCATAAAAGTATGGGAGAATTTGAGAAATGTAAGGTCTTGAAAGAGTGACATAGGAGGATTTGGGGATGGTATTAAATAAATGCAGGGTGAAAAGGTTGAGAAACTGAGGGGCCATGGTGAGCTCTCCTTTTTTTTTGATGCACAAGCATTAAGAATTTTCAGACTACTTAGCATATTCTTTGTGGGTTTTTTTGTAGTTGTTCTTATGAAAATATATCCTATTACTTTACCCTGTTTTTGTGTAATCACTAAAACAGCTTGAATATTAATTGAGGGGAGTTTTTAATTTTAATGCTGTAGTTCTGAACACTCATGAGGAAAGACATTATGGTCTGAGTTGAGAATAACTGACTCTTTTCTACCTTTATTTTTTTAAGTATTATCACAGAAATTGAGAGTTTGCGCAATTAAACCAAAGTGGTATTTTTGTGTTTATATAATTTTAGTTTTGCTAAGTGCAGTGCATCAATTATTTATTTGTATATCAGTTTCACTTATAAAATATGTTAATAAAATCTTAGGAGTTTTCTAGCACACCACTCTTCAACTTTTGTGGAGTCTCTTATCTTTTTTTAAAGAGTAGAAAATATTGTGTTTCTAAATAGGAGTTATAAATATCCTATTTCTGTGATGTGGTACTTACCTTCACGTGATATTTATTAACCAAATCTACTAGCAAAGTGTCTTGAATTCCTAAAGTTCATGACTATGTAAAGCAAAATTCAAGTGTGGATGTTGTCCAAAGAGATGTTTCAGATGACAGTTCGATTACAAGCAATTGTATTTGAGTTCCCTCCCCAGAATGTTGACATAAAAGGAACAAATTCTGCTGCATAGAAGAAAACCACTGAGCTTGTGTGGACTGAATTGCTGAACTCATGTCTCATAGAAAACACATACAAAAAGAATGCTATGAACATTCTTCCCTCCTTTATTTATGTGTTAGTTCTGCCTTACCATTTTATCTTCAGAACCTATTTTTAAAGTCTGGAACTCTAGTATTTATAGTGATGCAACATTTTTGTGACAACTTGTGTTTTCTTCTCTGTGTTGGCTGATGGCCTTACCTTTCTTTACAATGTGACATTAAAAAAAATTAAGAAAGCCTTGCAGTGTACCAAAAAACCCTCAGTGCTGCTTGTATGAAATTCAGACTGCTCCTTTGGACATAATGAAGTTTTGCAGTCAGAACTGCAACTTTTCTGAGTTTAGAATGAGATGACGTAAGAGTTGTTTCTGCCACCTTGTTTTTAACTGTGTTTTCCCATTTTAGTAAGAACAGCTTTACTGGCCATTATTGGATTTATGCCAACCAAAGGTGAAGGAGCGATAGGATCTCTAGATTACACACCAGAAGAAAGAAGAGCTCTTGCAAAGAAGTAAGCACTAAGCTTGTTCCTATAGGTACCTATACATGCACTCACTTTTGGGGTAACGCATTGAGTAGAAAGTAAGCCACTTCAGTCTATTCTTTTGCATTTATTCCAAATATAAAACAAGTTCAATGCCTTGTATATGTAGTGGGGTTTTTTTCTCTGAATATTGTGCAAACTTGGAAGTTAGTCAAACAAAATACAGTGAGAGGGCTGTGTTCCTTCCAGCATTGTGTGGTCATATTAGAGGTTTAACTAAAATTCAGGCTTGGAGCTCTAATTAACACTGTGATACAGCAGTAATTGCAGCATGGAGGGAAAAGGAGTGTGATGGAATTGATAGTAAGTGTAACTGGGGGAGAAAACCAAAATAATGATGTATCATTGTGCTTAAGTAAATAATAACAGTAATGAAATTATGCCAAAATTCTGAAGCGACTGCTTCTGAATGATCTTCAGGAAATTAACTTAAGATTAAATTTGTGACTATGATGAAATGATTTTCTTAGTGGAGAAAGGGAGAGCAGTGGATGTTGTTTATAGGGACTTCAGCAAGGCTTTTGGCATTCTCTGCCTTACCATCCTCATTCATGAGGTACAGCTTAAGTCAGTGAGGACAGTAAGGTGGATTAGGAACTGGCTGAGCTGCCTGGCTCAAAGGATTGTGATAAGCAACACGAAATCCAGCTGCAGGCCAGTGTACTGCAGGGGTCAACACTGGGCGCAGTGCTATTCAGTGTCATTAATGACCTGGATGCTGGGACAGAGTGCACCCTCAGCAAGTTGGCAGGTGATACAAAACTGGGAGGAGTAGCCAATAACACCAGAAGGTTGTGCTGCCACTGGAGGACACTGTGGCTGGAGGAATGTCATCAAAGGTCAACAAAGAAGAGCAGAGTCCTGCCTCTGGGGAGGAATAACACCAGCTGACTAGCTGGAAAAGAACTTGGATGGGGGAGAACCTGGAGATCTTGGTGGACACCTGACTGATCCTGAGGCAGCAGTGTGCCCTTGCAGCAGAGAAGGGCACAGCAGTATCCTGGCTAATGGTATCCTGGGTTGTATGAGAAAGAGCATTGCCATCAGGTTGAGGCAAGTGATCCTTCCTCTGTACTCAGCACTGATGAGACACTGAGGGTCCTGGGTCCAGGTCAGGTCTGTGACCAGGTCAAGGTACTACAAAGAAGAACTTTCTGGAACAAATCCAGTACAGTGGCACAAAGGTGATTGAGGGCCTGGGAATATTTCATACAATGAGAGACGAGAAGAGCTGGAAGTGTTCAGACTGGAGAAAAGAAGGTTCAGGGGATCATGTCCATGTGTCCTACTATCTGAAAGGAAGGTGTAAAGAAGGCAGAGCCAGGGTCTCCCCAGTGACATCCAGTAACAGGACAAGAGGCAATAGGCACAAACTGAAACCCACAAAAATCAGTCTGAATGCCATCTTTACAATCTTTATTGTGAAGGTGGCCAAAGCACTAGCACAGGTTACCTGGAGAGGTGGAGTCTTCTCTCTCTGGGACTGTTAAAAGTGTGACTGGAAACAGACATAAGCAACATGCTCTACTTGACCTTGCTCTGAGCAAGGAGACTTGCTCAGATAACTCAGTAACTCAGTGTTATCTCCAGAGGAGCACCCCAACCTCAGCTACGCAGTATTATCCTTACATGATCTTATACCTGTGGGGTTTTTTTTGTTCTTTCCGTTTTTCCCATCTGGGAAGGAGAAGGTACCTGGAAGGCCATATCCCTGCCTTATAAGCAAAGTTACTGAATTCCAAATGTTAACTAGTATGTTATTTTGCAGGCAAATGTGAGTTTATTGCACCTGTACTCTGAGCTGTTGGAAGCTGCAGCTTTTCTGTTAGCATGGCACTGAGTCAAAGCTAATAAACTCTGCTCAGAGGTAGGGTTAGTGGGCTGGCCTTGATACTATGCTATCAAGGTTGTGTGGTTTCTCACAGGCTTGGAGAGCAGCCTGCAGTGTGCCCTATAGACAAATTATGTGTGCAAGAGAGGGAAGGAAATGCTGTCACAGAAGCTGAAATTCTTGGATTTGAGGTGCAAGTTCCTGGATCCTATATAGTATTTGTAATAATAGTTAGATCTTTATAATTTATAGTTTTAATTTGCTGTAGGTATAAATAAGTTTTTAAATTGAAAGAAATTACTAATGAAGTATAAATAATACTAGTAGGTAAGTCAGTTGTTAATACTTTCCTAAAGTACATGAGAGAATATGTGTTTGCAGTGTAGATAATTCTCAACGTATTTTTTCAAGACAGTGTTTTGAGGCGGGGGGGGAATTACTTCTAACCTACTGGTCTTGCCACCACTTGTCTTTCTGTGGATTGTTTTGCAAGCAGTTTGTTTAAACAAGCACACAAGAACATTATGAGAACATGCTATTCTGAGCTGTGTCATTTGTGGCCAGGTCACAAGACTTCTGTTGTGAAATGTGTGGCACATCTATGAAGACAGCCCTCTTACCACTAACATCCAGAAGCGTGTCAAGCCAGGCGGACAAGGAGGCTAAAGAACTTGCCAGACAAATTAGCTTCAAGGTGAAGTCACTGTTTAAACTTTTATCTCTCTTGTATAGAATTTAAAAAAAATTGGAAAAACTTGTAAATCGCAGAAACCTTCATCAGTTGCTACGTGGAAGCTTCTTTTTTTAGTACAGTCTGAAAGAGAAAAATAAAAGTGGATCTCTTGCAATTTGCCAATTAATAAATTGTGCATCTCAAGCACTGATTGATTGGGTTTATTTTAGTAGTGAGCACTGTGGTAAAAACTGCCTAATTATGTTGCTTTTAATTCCACATATTCAGACACTAATAACTTTGTTAAATTCTCCAGAATTAGTCTTATCAGGAAAGTGTTAGGAAAATTTGGGCAAAGCTAACCTAAATTTTTTTCCCTTGTGATTTTTTTCCCCTCCTTTTTGCTTATGGAAGGAATAAAACATATTACTACTGAAAAATGGTTGCAAATTCTTTTGAGCTGCTCTGCTACTATCTGAAGATACTGAAAGTTGAACTCTGGTATGGAAGTTGCTGTGACCGAAAAATGTGTTCTCTAGCTTGTGTTTCAGTGAAAGCAAGGTTTGTTTAGACAAATACATTCCTTAGAGAATTGCATGTCTTGCATGCACAGTGTTGTTTCTCACTGGGTTTTCCACTAAACTCTTAAATCAGCCACTAAGGAAGACTGCTGTGCATGATGGCATGGAATTACAGTGAAAATATGATGACAGTGTGGCATTGGTGCAGAACACATCCTCACTAAGGTCAGGGATGCTCATATGTCCCCTTTTATCACCAAAGTTCTCCTAACACTCTCCTTAGAACTACTTTTACTTTTTTTGTGTGCTATGAAATTGAAGATTACCTTCTACTGAGCATTACTGCCAATTTTGTGGGACCTGCATACTCTTCTGCCATCTTGTTGACATGGTTGGGTCTGTGTGTAATAACGCTTGTGATAAAAACATCTCCAAATATTTTACAAAGATGAGGAGATAGTTTTAGTTTAGGGACAGAGTTTTAAAGTTGAGCTACTTGGAGAAGCAGTGGACTGCCTGTTTCTGGCTTTTTTACAATATATAAAGGTTAAAAATGGAGGATTGATTTTTACTTAAGAACTGCTAGTCTTCATCAAAGAAATTCTAGAAATATCAAAGCCTTTTTTTTTCTTTTTCTTTTTTTTTTTTTTTAAGAAAGAACTCTTTACTTACATTTCATATCTTCAGTTTTAAAATGAAAGACTTAGGGACATCAGTCTTTAAAGAATATTGGTGCTTTCCATGTATCTATATACTTAACACCACCTTGTAAGAACAAGCACTTATCAAGGGAAAAATGAACAAAAAGCCTCAAACCTTTTACAATCCATTTTAGCTTTTCTTACAAGATAAATCAGTTTTGTCCTCTGGTTGTGCGTTTCTTCCCTTCTCAGATCAAATTTTAGGGACTGGGTTTTTAAAGCTTCCTGCTTCTCTGCTTTGCTTGACTTTCCTGTTGTTTGTTTGTTTGATGTTAGGTTGAGGTATTCAATTGATGTGTTTGTAGTAAATTAATGGTATGAATCACTAGGAGGGAATACAGAGGTTTTTAATCATTTGGATACGTTCCATGTCAATTTATGGGATAAGATTTAATATCAGGTTGGTGATTGAGTGTATAATTTGAGAGAGTCTCTCTACTGGCAAACATACTAGTAACCTCTGCATTAGCTTCATCCTTCAAAAAGAGATTTTCTAACTTTTTCTAGGGGAGTCTGGGGTTATGAGAAGTTGTTTTATACCAGCTTTAAGCAAAATGGTAACTTTTTTTAAAAGCCCCAGTGTGGTACTGAGATAGGAATATGAAATTCAGGAGGGAAAAAAAAACCCAACACATTTTCTCATTATAGTTTTCTTCTGTGAGCCTCCACCTTTGTTTCTGTCTGCTTTAATAGAAAATTACATTTTTAATCAGCTTTATGTTGACTTGCAAATAGTTTTGTTCATTTTAGGTGCTATATATAATAAATTCCATTTTGTGTAAAAAAAACCAACAGGAAAGATAGATGATTCATAGCACTTACAACATACATATCACTGTAAAACAATATGCTTTACCTACATGTGGCCATCACAGTAAAATTAATTATCCACTCACCCTCATTATAATGTTCAAATATGTTTGTCATCATTCCTTGGTGTCTATGTTCCTTCAGGCTTTTCTGGAAGTAGAGGTAAGGGCTGGAGTAAAGAGATACAGGGTGACAAAAAAGATATTTCAGGTTTGAGAACTGTCAAGTGTAATTTTTTTGAATGTTAGTCTGACTTTAGTCTAGATAGTAGACTTAATATTTTCATAAACTAAATCAAATGTACATTTTGTAGTGTATGTGCTTTATAGAGATTAACAGTAAAGTTGAGATAAACTCATCTTGGAAAAAGCAGAATTATGAAAAGCAGTGGTCACAGGGTCCCTTCGAGGGAAGGAACTTAGAATTGGATATAGGAAAGAAAAATTTACCCTGAGGGTTGTCAAACGCTAGAGCAGGCTGCCCAGAGAGGCTGTGGAATCTCCAGCTTTGGAGATGTTCAAAGCTTGAACATGGACATGACTCTAGTGGGAGTTGGACCAGCTGACATCTCAAGGTCCATTCCAGTCTAAATTATTCATAGTTCTGTGTTGCTTTTTTCATGATCCATATTTGAGTCACAACTTATCCTGTCTAATATTAGAGTTCGTAGTAGTCAAGTGGAAAGGGAAAGCAATGTTGTCAGATTGTAAGTATTTTCAAATCTTAAATTCATCTTCAGATTGTTTCAGTGACATTTTTTGGATTCTCCTGAGATAATACATATCAAGAAACAGGGAATTTAATTTCCTCACACAAAATTGTATCATGAAAGAATATTATATTGTGATCTTATCAGTTTGTTGTCACCATAACTGGTTGGTTTCTAATACACTGTTTGTATTTCTTACTGCTGCTACTGCTGCTACCACTTATGTCTGTATTTGAAGACAGTTACTAGATTTGGAATTGTCATCTTTATAATAAATTGGGATCTAGATACATGACTTGGGAGGTGACTTGCTTACTGATAAAAATTAATCCAGTCATGACTTTTTTTTTTTACATGTATGAATTTTAAAGTATTTCAGTTCAGCACTATGATGCTATGTCCTTTTCCATTCCCAAGGGATTATTGCAGGCATATACTGTTTTTCACGTTCTTCTACATGTCCCTACTGATCTCTTGTCTCGAATTTCCCAAAGCATGAAATCTAAATTCTGGGAAATAATGCCTCATAGACATTTTATAAACGTGTATGAAAGTAGTGTTATAAGGACTTGTAATTTTTCCTTTACTCTGTGCTGAAATTTAAATACTGGGAACTGGTATGCATGCCTGACCCTAGTGTAGTGTCATGCATATGTGCCCACTCTGGCTGTGGGGCAACTTCGTACTAGAACCAGTATAGGCTAGTTAGTCCTGCAGAGAAACAGGCACTGTTACTTCACTTGCAGCAACAGTAATCAGCATTGTCTTAAGGACATGCAAAACAGAAGTTTTAAAAAAGGATGTTATTTCTGGCATAATATCCTGGATCTTATAAAGAATCTTTTTTTTTCTATACATCTGTGCTCTTTTTTGAATGTCATATCTGTTATTACGTGCAAAAAAACCTTAAAATTGTGATATTTGCACATTTAGAGTCTTATTTCTAAAGAATGAAAATTTCTTGAACCTGTTGGTGTGTGATTGAAAGGCAATTGGCATACCTGATTATTACATTTCGGTAAGCCTCATATTCTCTCACATTAAAATACACATTCCAGAATAAGCCAGATCTTTCTGGAGCAATTTTGATCTCATCTCTTAAGTGTACATATGTACTTCTTGTAGGCAGAAGTCAATTCATCCAGGAAGTCTGATGCTGGACCTTCAAACACATCAGGACTGAACCACTCTGCTGCCTCACGTGAGCCCCAGCAGGAAGGTGCAGTGAGAGCATCCCAGGATCCAACAAGTGCAACGGTATGGTCCATCTTTGAGCTTTACTGGGCATAACCTGAACATGAAATTGATCCTATTAAGCTGATTGGAGACTTAATTAAGAGTATGTAGTTAATACATTTCTGTAGAACTTCTGCATACTTCTGTATAAAATCTATGTGTAAACTTTAGCAAAGAGTATGCTGAATCACTTTTAGAAATAGCGATCTCTGCTTTCACTTCCTTCTCTTAAAAAAAACCAATAAATAATGTTCTTTTAGCAATTCTTGTTCCCAGTAGTTCCTTTAATATATGGGTTAACTGTTCATTAATACTGAAGTGGTGTCTGAAGTACTGCAGTTTACCATCTGCATAACGTAGCGCAGGTTTTTTTTGATAGAATTCTTAGCCAGAGGCAAAAAAAATGTTTCAGTGATAACCTGTAGCTTTTAAATGTTAATTGAGATTGTCTTCCTGTTTTTTATAACCTCTTCAATAAGTCTAAAACATTCTTACCATTTGAAGTATGACACTTATGTTTTAATACTGTTAGGTGTAGGGCTTACATAATGGTTTTGGAAGTGACCGAGGTTTGGTGAAGGGCCAAGGCAGCTGCTGTTATGACTGTGGCAAATGCAATCTAAATTCACTGATAAATTGCAGGCAAATCCCAGCTAAGCTGCCTTTTTTAGAGAGAAGACGGGGCTGCAGATTGGTTAAAAAAACCTAAAACATGTCAAATAACATCAGACCATCTGTTGCGTGTTTGCAACATATTTTCAAGCTATGTAGAAATATAAACATGCTAATAGCATACTTTTTTTCCCCCACAATAAGGATTTTTCCAGATTGTTCAGGATTTAAAACCATTGTATTTTATTCTTCTTATTACAAATCCTGGCCAATATAGTAGAGCTAGCTGACACTCAAAGGCATTGCTGGCATTTTCTTGAGGGAAAAAAGACTTTTTTTTGATTAATCCTATTTCAAAGAAAATTGTTTTAATCGATTATGCTGGTTTAATAAGTAAGGATTAACTTCATTTTTAGCAGAACAGTCCTATGGGAAATGAGACCTTTAAATGTATAAATGTACTTAAAAACATTTATATATGTGGTTATCTGTAAATATGTGGATTCATGTTTTAAGGGATCAGACTGTTTCATTCTGATTGTTAGTTTTAATTTGAAGCAACAGCTATGTTTCTGAGCTGTCACATTTTGAGTGTGAGGAATTATCTGGAGCCATTTGGGACTGAAAACAGTCACACAGTGGAAAAAAGAAACGTGTAACAGGAAAGACTATCCAAGGAATTTGAGCTTGCTGTTTTTGTGTTCTTATTCATGCAAAAGTTAATAGAAATCTTCTCAAAGTAGGGAACTGTGGCCTTGATCTGCTAATAGGTGTGAAAGAGTATCCATGCAAACCTCAGTTCCTTTCCACTTGACTGGGCTTCTTGCATGTGTAAAATTAGTTTATTAGGTTAGTTCTTGTTGTGTAAAGACCTAATTCCACCTTATTAAGTTATGTTAGATGTGGGTAACATCAAAACTAATTTTTCCTCTTTTTCTGGATAAAATGTTGCATATTGGCTCTTAAGATTTTGTGCGCTGATATGATTAGAGAATGTTTATCGAGTCTTTAAATGGCTTATCTTTGAATAAAGAAAAAGACAAAAGATTCTCATGCCAAAGATAGCTGCTTCTCAGGAAAACTTGTCACAACAACATTATTGAGGTTTGCAGGTACAAGTCAAATTGCAGAATCACAGAATATTGTGAGTTGGAAGGGACCCACAAGGATCATCAAGTCCAATGAGTACAACAGCATGAGAACAAGAAAAGGAACAATGCTACCATGAAGGCTCTGGAAAATGCTGCCACAGCAACTTGTGTAAAAGGATACAGAGCTGCAAAGAAAACAGTCTTTAGGCATTAATAAGAAACAGCTACTTAAAGCATTGTGCAGCATAGTACTTGTGAGGAGTCTGAAGCCAGCACAGAGAACACTTCTGACAATATATATATATTTATATTTTTTAAAATTTGTAGTAGCTGTTGATGTGTACTCAGGCAAAGTAATGGTACATTATTCTTGTTTGAGTATTCAAATTGCAAGCAAGGTACTGCTGAAAGTTGACTTGATAAAAGTAATTGCCTTTAGTCTTAAGAAGATGAGATCCTTCCACATCTGAGCAAAAGAATGTTTTTGAAAGAATATGTTACAGATACTCAGGTTGGACTTGGGTTCAGATTAAGTCATCTGGTATGCTTGTGGTCACCTAAATTTAGGTACCAAAACTCTCATTGCAGTCTGTGGGACTTGTTAATGGAGGCTGGGGAGCACTGCAGCTTATTGAGAAGCAGAGGCTGGTTTTGGCTGCATTGCTCTTTCTGCCCCCCGATTGCTTTGACTAAATCCACATGGACTGTTATGGGTGTCTGAACTCCTGCCAGACCTGTAGCAGTACATTTGATGTATTGATGTGGAATGATGCCCCACCTTGGTGCTTATAGTTAATCAATAAAGTTGATACCTGGTAAGACTTACAAAGTGATAAGGTGAAAGCTGTGGTTAGACTGTTTTCTTGATAAGCTGGGAATACATCACACCTCAATACACCTTTTATGAAACAGTATGATACAGTAGTGACCTGCCATGATATGCTGGCTGGATGAAGCATTATGAGAAGTGATAAAATAAATGGTGTAACTGAAGCCAGCTAATCTTGAATTGATGAAAGAGGTTTCTGTTGTAAAATGAGGCTGTGTTCTGATTCATGAGACTTACAGAAGCCTTTATTTTTAATTATGTGTTCTGAATGATACATTGGTAAAAAGTGTTTCCCTTTATCACTGTTAAATAGTGTCTTAAGTTTCATAATACTACGGCAAAAATTTTAAATGTCTTGGCAATCGGAAGTATTTGACCTAACTTTAATTCATTAAAAAGAAGACATTTTTCATATGAACCATTAAGCTGTCCTGTGTCAAGCTTCAGCTTTTCTTCAGTTGAAAGTTATACAGACAAACAAATGTTCCATCTCTCCTTCTGTCGTTTTATTTTTGCATCTCTCTCCAAATCATGAGTGTAACTGAAAGAGGCTTCAGTAACCCAGAGGATTTTTATGGTTCTGAGTTCCTAGAGTTTGTTATATTTTTAAAACATCCCTTCTAAGATGATTTAATACTTACACAGTTCTGATAAAAAGTTTTAAAATAATGGCCTGGAGATGTAAAGGATGCCATGAATGCTGCCATTTTCAGTAGACTGAACATAATGTAAATTTCCTTAGCTGCATTTTGTTAGATGATATAACTTTTTGTTAATTCTAATATCAGTATATTTTACTGAAATAGCCTTATTCATCAAACTCAAATGTCCTTAGAGCAAAGTTTTCTACTAGTCCTAACAGTTTCAGAAGCTTCAAATATGTAACATGACACAAGTCCATATTAAATGGCTGTAAAAATGAGATGCTAAAGATGGCTACAATGTAGCTCTTATTAAATATTTCTATTTTAAGTCTACTGAGCCCTCCTCCACAACATTCCCAGTGTGGTTTGGCAGAAAATGACTTACTATTTAATGGAAATTATGTTATGCGAGGTATTGTGTAGCCTAAAAATCTTGACGTCTTCGCTTAAGGAGAATTTAAAGACTTGCCATTATGTTGCAAACAAGATGATTGTGATATTTTAAAAAATTTATAATACAGCCCATCTGCCACTTTTGGGATTCTTAACAATTAAGTCTTCAAGCGAAAAAAATCTTTATCTGGCGATACATGTATGTATTATTTAAGACACTGTAGCATCTGATCCCAAATTTATATCAGGTAATGATCACTTCTTTCTTATCTAACTTAGTTCTGCGTGTCACTGATTATGTTGGGAATCCCAAGGCAGTGCATTAGCTGAGCTTTGGGTGAAGCAGTTGATCTGCTGCTGCCATGATCCATCTATAATTTCCTTAAAAAAATAGTTTAAAGCCTTGAAACTGTCAGTGAGGTTTCTCTCAAATCACAGATCTGTTCATGTCAGTGTATGACACCTTGTTTTATTCAGAAGAGGGCCTTTCTGTTTCATTTTTAAATTTAAAATTTGCAGCGTTGAGAGGATTTGTGTGACAGCCAGTGCTAGTTATTTTTGTTAGTAATATGAAGGATCAGGAATATTTCTAGACTTTTTCTTCCTTTTTATTTCTTTTAAAACTATTTGAATGAGGAAAGCACTTTGCCTGCTGAATTGGCAGTTCTTGTGTCCTGAATTGACTCCTCTCCTTCTCCCCTTCTGGAAGATGGGAGTGTGATGAATCTAGGAACTTAGTTTTTCAAAGATTTGGCTTCTCTTAGTCTTTATTTTCCTTGGCATGAGGAGCTTTCAGGCGAGTTCAAAATGAAGCAGAATTGTTTCCTTCTGCAGTGTAGTGGAAGTCACGGCAGGCTGCTCATGGTATTCTTGATGTCTCGGCTGATAAAATGTATCTTTTGAAAACGCTTCTCTTTGAAGTTACCCAAACTGCTTGCTTACTTAGGCAAGAAACCCCTGTAAACAGGCAAGTTGTCAAAGGTGGCGAGTTATTACATCAGTACTTCCTTGATGATGATAAACAGTGGGAAAATAGTAATGATGAGGAAAGGAAGGTCGCTTCCCGGGCTGGTCAAATCACTGACTAGTCGTAAATGTGGGAGAATTCTTCTCCCACATAAAGAACACGTGACCAAAGAGTCAGGAGACCAAGTGCTGGTTCCTGTGTTGTGGATCCTCAAACCTGATACACAGTTGAGGGCATTCCCTATCTGGCCATGTGGAAAGGGTGTCTTTTATGGATATAGTGGCTGGCTGAAACAGTGCTTAAGGTTATGGATATTGTGACCATTAAAAAGCTTTTGTTTGGAAGCATATATAAAATGTCCAGAATTCTAGTTTTACCTACTGTGATGATAACCTTTTAGAAGGAAAGGGGGAGAAAGCTAACTCTGGAAAATAGCTGCAAGTTGCTTTAAGTTGGGAATACTAGCACACTGTTCTGAGAACTGAAAATAAGACTTAAAAAAAAAACCCTGCAATTTTTTGTCAGAGCGGCTTTTTTTTTAAGTGCTTTTAAATTGAACCTTGTCAAAATGTTTATTTCTAATTACTGTGCTGTATCATTATTTTTAATACTAAAACGTTGGAAATTTGAGCCTTTTAGTATTACAAGCAGGATTAGTCTGGTGGAAGATCAGTAATCACAGTTTCAGTCTTACAAACTGGAAAAATGAACATCAGTTGCCAAAGTTTATTTTTTTAGTACTTGTAATGTCAGACCGACGTTTGCCCAGTAGAGGGCAATAGGTAAGTGCCTGCACTTGTGCAGTGCTTGGGAACTCCTGCCGGGATCACGTAGGTGGTTTGTGTTTAGGATGACTTTCGTTTTGTGTTTCCAGTGGTGTTGGTGGTGATGAGATTTCTGGACCCAGCTGTCCACAGAAAGCAATGCAGCACTGCTTAATTACAGTTCTCTGGGCTTGTCTTCTTCCTTTCCTGGCCTCCCCAGGTTGTTTCCCCTTCAGTGAAGGTGACATTACAAATGCTCAGAGATTAAACTATCTGGAGGATTATTAAAGATTTCTTGAACAACAAAGAGTTAAACAAATCCTAGACAAAGATATTTGAAATCTCTTTAAGACAAATACTGTTTGACAGACTTTCTTCAGCCTTTTCTTGTCCATAGAACTGCTAGTTTGCAGCTTGAAATATACTTCTCAGATAGTGTATGGACAAAGGTGACAGCTACAACAGTCTTGTAATTATTAGTGACATGTATTATCAGGCTTTCAAGTGTTAACATCAATCTGGAGACTATGTTTTAGTCCTTATGATTTTATTTCTTGCTAATCTTATGCAGTGTCTTCTCTCACAACTTTCCATGTTTCCTTTTTAGTCTGAAACTCAGAACAGCAATGCAGTGGCCGGTCAGGAGCGCACTCCAGCTGTGTCCACTAGCACATCCATGAGTCCCCGGCAGCGCCGTGCTCAGCAGCAGAGTCAGAGACGGGCTCCCTCCTCCACTGACTTCAACCGGGCACAGCAGCCGAGAGTCAACACGAACCACACTGGATCAACTGTTCTGATTGTCCTTCTGACCTTTGCGTTGGCAGCTCTTATATTTCGCAGAATATGTTTGGCTAACGAGTATATATTTGAGTTATAAGGTTGTTTGTCCTAACAGCAGGGACCTGAGTGCTTCATTGAACATTCTGTATTGGGTATGACATGAGAACTGTTTACAAAGGCTACTTTTTGTATTTATGCTTAAATCCTTACGAATGTTGTTAACGTACCTACAGATACATTACTTGTAAGAAAAGCAAAGTGGGACATGTGTTAATTGAGTGCCCACTAGAGAAACAGTGCAGTGGAATAGTAACATGAAGGCACGTCGGATGGGCCTAGATTTGAGTAATTTATAAACTAGAAAAAGACAATTTTTAAAAAATGGTTGATTAATTTTTTATGGAACATAAATGCAATTAATCACCCATCTAAGTTAGTATAAGATTTTAAATTGAAGAGAGAATTATAAAGTGAAACACTACTATGTGTTTGTGTCCAGTGAACTCTTTTGTAACCACTTTGATTTACCATGACACATTTCTAGAGGTGGAACACATACAAATTGTGAAGCTGCTTTGTGTGTGTGGAAGGGGGAAAGGAGAAGGGGAGGAAAGAAAGGGCCAGAAAACTACTTGCATTATTTTGATTTTTATTTTTTGGAAGAAAGATTGGATAATCTTTTGAAAGATTTGAATGTCCTCTTCTAGTATTTTCAATTGTATATCTTGTTTTTAAATTTGACAATACTACAAAACATGTCTATTCTTGCAATAGTTATAAATATGTAATATAATTATTTACCCAGAGCTATTGTCTTTTCATTATACCAGAAATATACATAATGTGTTGAACTGAATGTTTTGTATGTGGTTTTATTTACTAAAGAAAATTTAAACCTTATTATACTTAAACTCTCATATCTCAATGTGCTTAAGAGAAGTATTTATTGCAATCCTACTAGTAATAAAGTTTCAAGCCACTCTTTGGATATACTTCAAATATCATATGGCATATTATTTATTGTTTGCCTGGGTTTTGTTTGTTTTTTTTTTCCTGGGTTTTTTTTTTTTTTTTTTTTTTTTTTTAAAGGGTTGTTTTTTGGGTTTGCTTTTTGTTTAGGGTTTTTTTTTTTGGTTGGTTGGTTGGGTTTTATTTTGTTCATTTGGAGGGGGTTAGTGGTTTGGGGTTTTTTTTTAACCTAAAATCTATATTAGATCCAGAGACTTTCTTATTTTCAGTTTACTTAAAAAGTCGCTGGTAATATTCATAAATACTGTGAAAATGGATATACAAGCAGCAGACCTATGATTTTTAAGGTTTTGAGAGGTTTTGTCTGTGACTCTTTAAATTGGAGTGAAGTAGAAGAACACAATGGGTGGGATAATTTTCCTCTGGTATCATTGTTCAAATTATTGTTCAGTGTGTTTATTTCAAAGACAAGGAAATTTAGCCAGCTCTCATTTTGTTGCTGTCAGACATGATAGCACTGATTTAAGTGAGATTCTCATCCTGTTTCTCAGCAAGTATTTATCAAGCTACCTACAACTTCCTAGATTTTGTTAGTTATAGCATATATTACATTAAAGTAGCTATAAAAACTTCTAAAATAAGGAAAGCCCATTATGTGTCTAAGGGGGATGTGGAAAATTAAAAACTCCAAAAGATGCCTTCTTTTTTAGCATTTCTGTGCACTGTTGATAATCTTGTTTGCAGGTGCAAAGGAACAAGGATGAAAAAATATTTTTTTTTAGAAGTTCTGACAGAAGTATGTCATTTGTTCAGCAGTTACTTACACACTCTGCCATAGAACAATCTGATGTCGATATACTGTCTTTTTACCTAATTTGTTATTTCATTAGAAATTAAAAAAAAACCCCACCAACAGAAAACCCCAATACACAACTCACCTTCCCCACCACCACCACAAAAGAAAGCACCCGGCACACCAAAACACTAAAAACCCTCTCCACATCCTGTAGCCTCTAATACAGAAGTACTCTGTTTCCTAGTTGGTGCTTGAATACCCATTCACTTCAAATATTGCAAACGTGGGCTCACAGAAGAGAGTTCTGGAAAAGGTCTGACTCACAAGACGGCGTTGCTGGGGTTTGAGTTGCTCACTCCTCTGGAAGCTTTGAGTGTGTTTTTCTCTCCCTCCAGAATCACTGCTCTGCCAGGACAGTGTTTGCTCTCGTACCTGTGCCACGCACTGGGTGTTATTAACGCAGACAGACAGTCAGCATTGTCCTGCCACTGAGCTGTGAGGAAATAAGCCCCCTCAATGGTTTTTTGTAAACAGCCTCTTCCTTGTGATTAAAGAAGTAGCTGCTTGTAACTAACTTTAAAATTTTCATTTAAATCTTCTTTGATAAGAGTTCAAATGCCTGATTAGGCAAAATACCCATTTGAAAAAAAAACCCAAACACATTAATGGCAACTTGTTTTATGTAAAGTCGATTGCATGTATAGTTTGGGAGTTTCTGTTTTAATTTTCCTTTAAAACTTAACTGTAAATAAAGTCAGCATTTTCAGAGGAAATAGTTCATATTCTATGTTCAACAGCATGAAGAGCCAGACTAAATCAGAAAATAAACCCTCAACTGCTATAAACGCATCAAAATACATATATTTTACAAAGAGATACATGTCTGAAATGTGGCATAGGTGTTTTCCAGTTGAAAAAGATGCCATACAAAGGATCAAAAAACCGTGGAATGCCTAATGAAAAGGGACAGCCTGGTTTTACAGTCTGGCAGGAGGATAGCACTGAGATTAGGGGATTGAGCAAAAAGCCGCATGCAGAATTGCGGGTCTTTATATAATGGCTTTAGTAAGTATCCTTTAGGACCCAGTGGAAATGTTTATGAGGTAAACTTGGTGAGTAATGGCCAATCATTAAGCGGTGATGAGGGAAAAGCTTTGAGTGCGAAGCCCTTGAAAGCCTGTCGAAAGCATCACGTCGGGAAAGCAGCGTTTTTGCCACTGATCGCTGACCAACGCGCGTCGCCGGAATTAGAGTTGATTCAATGTTTAAGCCCGGGGGGACTTGTACTACAGGAGGTCACTGGAGTGCAGAGTGCCCGGCACCCATTTCCAGCAAGATGCCTTATTTTGCAAAACTCCTTTTATTAATCTTCTGCTTAGTTCTTCTTGTGGAAAGCAGAAAACACAGGAGGAGGAGGTGGACAAGCCAGCTGGATGTGCAGAGGGCAAGGTAAGCGTTACTAAAACACTATATCTCTTTTCCTGGAATGTTGCAAATACGTAACTATGCGGACATAAAAAACTACTCTATCAATATCTTTGTGTCTATTGTGTGTGTAAAGAGCTTTATAGATAATGTTTTTATACCAGTCTCTGGTAGTATAATCAGTTTTAACTGTAAGTGGACACTTCTAATGCTAATAATTGATTAACTCTGAGCGAGGCAGGTTTTGCAGAGAAGTTGACCACTTCAGCATGGATTGTTGTAAAATTATTCTTAGCCATATATGCAAATTACTGAGAGAATTAGAGAATTCAGAGGAGTTGCAGTTAATAGAGATGTTCAAATGTACATACTGTTTCAGCACTGTTTCAAGAGCAGGTTGTTTACCTGCTTGCTAGAATGCCTGTGCTACTTACGTTCTCTTGGAATTGCCTGTTATTTTCTAACAATTTGAGATGGAGAGCATGCATTATGGTAATTCATGGTAAATTAAACCCTGGAAGTTATCCAGGGATTGTAAAATTGAAAAAATACATTTTGAAGAAATACATGGAATCTTTAAAAAAAATGTATTTTAAAGTCAAGCAAAGGCACAAGAAAGAGTTAAAGGTATTAGTAAAGTTTATTAGATTTACCATTGCTGAGATTTGTCCGGAGGTTTACATTAGAAAAGATAATCTTCCAAACCTGCCAGACAGTCCAAAGTATGTTATCCTTTTTTGTGGTTATGTCATCCAGTGGCAATTATATCTTACAAGACTATTCATTGTTTGAAGGGCTCAAAAATAAAATTGGGTTAATCCGTCTTATTAAATGACCTCCCTATGGCTGTAAACTTTCATATTTTCATTCATTTTACTGGGCTTTTTTGTTTAACACTCAACACTTATAAGGAATGTTGTTACTTGAATGGTTTGCAAATAAATGTGATGTAATCGGAAGCAAAGAATACATAATATGCTATCAGATTTACACTACTTATTGAAAAAATACAGTGGCATATGCTTTTCGTGACGTTAATGTTATAAAGCTGAAACAGCCAGGGTCTGATCCTGAAATCCTAAAGTCAACTGAAGTTTTACTACTGATTTCCACAGAATCTCAATTATTGAATGAGACCTTTCATTTAACTCTGAAAATATTTCAAAGTCTACATTCTGAGGATTGTGCAGGATTCAACAGTAGCATTTCCTTACAAACCATTTGTGAGTAGTAGAGATCATTTGCTTTGAAGTAACAAAATAGTATAAATCCTTCTTTAAATATTGCCCAAAAGTAGTGCCATTCTCTGGGTTAAAAGTTTTATACTTCAATTGAACATGGTGAAAATAATTTACTGTTTTTACAGTGGTGTTATTTTTGTGAGCTGTAATAGAGTGGCAGTCAAAGCACTGCTAAAATTATTTTTATAAATATACTCCAAAGAATAAGTGATACTATTTAGTTTTCTGTGATGTAATGGTTTTAATGAACAATTTTTCAGTCAGGTAGAACCTAAGGAACTATATATTTTATATATATATATAATTATATATTTTATATATACACACATACCCATACAATTCCTATGCAATGTGGTTATTTAAAAGTATATAAAAAGAATTTTTAGGGACTATCAAATGTGAATGATAATTTTAATACAGAGAGTTCTGCAATGTTGTGACAAAAAGAAGTGTATGGAGCAGTGTCATTAATATTTCAAATTTCCGCATACATAGAAAAAATTTAGTTGTCTCTAAACCAGCAACAAATAGCGGACTCATCTAGTAAAAGGAAACTAAAGCTAGTTCCTATGCTGGTTTCCCAATCATGTAAAAGAAATTTAAACAATGATCTTTTGAATAATTTCATCCCATTTTCTGCTTAGCATTTCTCTTGCTGACTTACCGTAAGAAATACAGTAAATTTTACAGTAAACGTACTAATCAAGAAAAATGTGTTCCTATGTTTGGGAATCTACATTTGATAGGTTTGATATTTTGTATCCATTAAGGGGATAAATCAACATGATCAAAGATCTTTATACTGCCTTCAAGAAGATAGCTTGGCTTGTGCAAGTGCAGAACACCTTCAGTTCTGTAGTTTTTTACTTGAACATTGTATAGAGTTTCACGCTGTATAGAGGTCCTCACCCCCAGAGCTCTGAGGGCTTGGGCAGCTGGTCCCACAGGTGCCAAAACAGCTGTCTGCCAAGGTTATTCAGGGAAGTGGTTGAGCCTGTGCCTTATGGGAAAGGAATATGGGAGAGTCAGGTTAGGAACTCAAATTAAGAAATTCCAAGTTAAGGGTTGCCTCTGCACCCTTAATTACTCCCCTTGATCTATGTTAATACTGAACTGTAATGCGTTATTTTTGTTTGATGAGTTGTGCCTTGCTCAGTGTATGGAACAGATAATCCTTGCTTAATTAGAAACTGTGTTGCATTTAATGTTTTCTTACTCCTGCGTCCTGCACCTCACTTATAACACGTCTTTTCTTCTACAAATTGAGGTATAACTTAAAGAAACGACTGTTACTGTGCATCACCGCCCTGATCATTGCCCGGTGCAGCTTCATGTTATGCTTTGGAGAGCCCAGGCTTTGCATAGAAGATTGGTCTGTGCTCATCAAGTAACAGGTCCTGGCTTTGTTCTTTGATGGCGGTTTTTCACATTTTCCAGGGTGTACAGTCTCTGCCACTTACATTGCAGAACTGAAGGATATCAGTGATTGGTATGAAGTTGAGGGCATTCTTGCTGATTTGCAAGCTGACAAATGGTGCACAAAACCAAGGGCTCATAACTAACCGAAA